CCCCCCTCCCTCCCCCTCCCGCCAGGTCAATCCCTTTTTGCTTCCTATTAAGAAACACGAGTATGTTTCAACTACCACTCTACCGAAGCCTACTTCGCTGAGCCTCCCTTCTGTGGAAGGTTGGACTTGAAAAATTCTAGATAAGGAAAATAATGCGGCGGGCATTGCTGGTCAGGACAAGGCAAAAACTGCCAAATTGCCAACTAGAATTGTTGCAATTGCAATCTGATGGATGACGCATTGTTGATAGCTATGCTATGGATGATGTCGATTGAGTTGCTTTTTCTTTGTGCCGACCTCAGGTTGTGATCAGGCCCAGAGTGGAATGCCACACACTGCCCAGTATATCGGTTGCAAAGTTTGTGGATTGCTGGGTAGAGTGGTGGTTCAAGTGACATTGAAGTTGATTGAACTAGCGTCTATCGCTCAGAAACAGCAACCATAACCTGTCAGTGTTGCTACACATTTCCGAAAGTAGTACCTCACACTTAGGGCTCCACGGAGCCTCACAGCACCATCACTGATCGTATAGACAAGACGATCTCCGACAATTAATCATCCACTGACCAGATATGGGAGAGGAGCTCAGAACAACAGTCTCAGCATAGTGGTATCCCAGAGGCGGTTTGGGTCAACGCCCAAGCGGATATGGAGGACACTCCTCTCCCAAGAAGACCAGCTGAGATAATGGGAGACGCCACACTTGTCTCAGTTGTGCACCATCACACTTTTTTCTTTTTTTACATGATAGTGGGAGATGTAACACTTGTCCTAGTTGTGCACTATCCCACTTTTTTTTTTTTTTTTTTTTTTTTTTTTTTTTTTTTTACATGAAGCCTTAGGAGTCAAGACGTAACCGCCATAGATATCGACGACTCTGCAAAAGGTACACACCCAAACCATCCAGGGGTGTTGGCGCGGGATATAAACCTCTGATACGTCCGAGTCTCTTTCTACCAAGGCGGACTCCCACCTGCATGCCAAGCTTATCTGAAGCACAAGCGCGACCTTTTTTTTTTTTTTTTTTTTTTTTTTTGACTGGCTTACCGACCCACTGCTACGTCCGAGTCTCCTTTTACCAAGGCGGACTCCCCCTGCATGCCAAGCTTATCTGAAGCACCAGCGCGGCCTTTGTTTCTTTTTTTTTGACTGGTGCCGCCGACCATCGGGCTCAGGTAGCCCCAAGCCTGAGTGATGGTTTAAACAGAGCACTCTCACAAATTGCAGAGCAGAAGAACGTGCACAAATGCGTCCCTCAAATGAGAGTGAGGTCTGTGAAGCTCCTCCCCTAGCCAGCTACTTGGGGGGGGTCTCTTCCGTTGCCCATTCCCTTCTGCCATGACAATGGCCGCCTTTCAGGCCTACGTGTAAATTTGGTTGGAGCTGGGGTGATGTACCTTAGCCTCATCCGATGACGGCTTTTCAGGCCTACTCGAAAATTTGGCCGGAGCTGGGGTGAAATACCCTTTTTGCCTCAGGACCTGGATGTAGACTTGCTAAGAAGTCGCTCGAGGACCTGTGTAAGACGATAGAAAGACAACCTTCTTGTTCTGTGAGTGAATTTTGTGTGCCCCTTTGTGTGTGCTCTCACTGTTTGAAATCAGCCCCTAGGCAAACGGAGGTTGGCATGCGCACGTGCAAAAAAAATAAAATGATGCAGCAGCAAAGTTACAAACAAGTAGAAATAAGGACAAATGTAAGATATGACAAGCACGAGAGTCACTCTCTGTGTGTGACTTCATGTTCGCTCGCTGTCTGAAATCGCTCCTCAACTGCTGAAATACAGACACAAGTCCAGATCCAGATGCAATCAGATGAACAGAATAAAATATAGCTCTGAATTACCTGGCGCTGGTCAATTGAATGATGATAATATCTCAAGTCCAGCACCCCTCAAAAAAAAAAAAAAGAAAAAAAAAAAAGGCGCAAGGTTCAGACAAGCAGAAGAGCAAAGCAAAAGCCAGGGCAAGCACAGATTCCTATCTGCATATCGTCGATTGCAATACATTGTTTCAATTTGTTTGTGTTTGTGAGACTTCCGATGCTGGAATGGATTCTATTTGTTGCCTTTCTTTTTCTGCTATCAAAAACACATGTCCAGCAAGTCGGGCAGAGTAAGTTGGCGCTACGACTGGATGGGAAAGGACTTTCTCTGAGGCCCTGCGATTCAGCAGATGCACGCTGTCCGCTCTTCCCTGCCAGTTATACTGGGAGAAAGATGAGAGAGATACAATTAATGGACAGCAGGGGCTCAGTGGTCTTTTGGAAGGCTGTGATATGTTTGGACAAGGAGTGTCGGGTTGGAGACTCACTTATTGAATTAACTTGTTGTGTGTCGCTTTGCAGGTGGATGTGTTCTCTTTTGGGATAATAATGTGGGAACTTTTGACTGGGGAGATTCCGTACGGAAATATGCACTATGGTGCAGTAATCGGTAGGCATAGAGATCCTCTGCCCGTTTGTCTGGATGCGTCGTGGCTGGGGCTGTTCCCTCTTCATGTGGGAAAGAGTGTTGCGATTACATGAGTTGGGCGGATATCGATAGAGAAAAACGGGTCGTTGTGGTTGTTTAGAACACGGGTGGGAAGGGGTTTGCTGTGGTGAAGGCACATGTGGCCAGCCTCGCGCGGCTCTTGATCTGTTTGGAAGTTGTGTGGATCTGATGTTGCGGTCTTGGTAGGTCGATGGGCTACAGGCAATTTGTATGGTTTCTGGGATTAATCTGCTTTATGCCTCTTAGCCAACCGCCATTGGAGATAACAACCGCCATTGGAGATAACAACCGCCATTAGAGGCTCGCTGTTGTGCCTTTTGGGTGGAACGGGTGCTTGGGCATCCTTATGGAGCATGTGAGCTTTTGACTGCCCACATGGTCTTCACGAGGGGACCCGGACCGTCGCTAGGGGCAGTCCTGGTGTAAGTACATGGAAACGGGCCGTCTCTAGGGTGCGCTCAGCAGTGGCAGTCCCGCGTGGCACCCGGCCTGATTTGTGGAATGTTTGTGGACGGAGCACTGTTTCGAGAGATGGTTAACGGAGGCCAGAATTTTTAGTGATTTGTCATGTTGTTTATAAGAAAAGACCCGAAGGCTTTTTTAAACCACCAGTACTTATTCCAGTGTCCAGCCGTGGGTCGACTCCATGGCCTTTGGGGGTGTTTTAGTGCTCGTATCTGAAATTCGTGAATGGTGGCCTCCATCTCCATAGGTCACGGCATGTATATGGCCCAGCTTGAAAAGAATTGCTGGGCCAAGCACACTGGGGTTCTAGCCAGACTTGCCACCAAATCCGTGGAGTGGGCACCATATGAACTAACAGCAAAAAAGGAACCAACAGGGAAAAAGAAGAGAAGAAAAGAAAAGAGGAGAGAAGAAGAGCAAAGGAAAAAAATAATCACCGTAGAACTGCTGTAAGGCGAAAGGGCACTTTCGTGCAAAATTTGTCAAGATTCACCCCTTCGGAGACTTTAACAGGTGTTTACCATAATCATGACCTCTGAACCCTAATTTCAGTTTTGGATCCGCTAACCAGGGGTTGAAAGTGGGGGGGGGTCCATGTGGAGTTGTTTTGGGATAATTTTTGTGGAATGTTTTTTTTTTTTTTTGTTAGTCAATTGAGAATGTTCTCAATCTTAGTCAAAGAAATTGGCGAACAATCACGAAAAAAAAACAACAAAAAAGTATATAAAAAAAAAAAGCCTTGATTAGATCAATTTACATATTTCACGCAATTCCTTTGGTTATGTGTATTTCCAGAAGGGCCACATGTAGTGATTTGTGACTTGTATTTCAGCACAAACATGCAGGTGTGCAATTACCGCAAGATGGTTGTGTGGGTCGTTGGCACTCGACCACGCAAACATGACCAGCCTTGAAGTCTCCTCTTTTCCCTTTGTGGCTTTTGGATGGGTCGGGTTTTGGTCTTTGTGGTCCTAGACTCCTAGATAACGACGTACGCTTGCGCACACAAGCGTCATCCAGAACACAACGATGAAACCGCCGTTCGTTTGAATGTTGTTTTCCTAGAAACAGTACAATCGGTTACGATATCACACATAAGGGTTACAAGGTGAGGTTGTGTCAGTTTTGGATCTACCGATCTGGCTGCGAAAGCGGGTGCTCTGGCGTCAGACCAGAACAGACGAGAGGTGGCCTAGCATTCCTTTGGTTTTCTTTTGTTTTTCTTTTAGTTTTTCTCTCCATTCGATTGGAGAGAAATAGTGGATAGGTGATCCTTGACAGCTTGAACACACCACCTCAACAACTTCAACGCGCAATCTCCGGATGAGATGCCTTTGTGGACGGTGTGCGTGTCTTTTGGTGGAGTTACGGATAGCAACCACGACAGCACACAACACACAGCACAGCACGGCCTCTCAAGCTCTCTGCTTATGTTACGGATGCACTGAGGGCGGCGGGCACTGAGGGCGGCGGGGACCACTCTTGCGCTTGCGGTCTTGGCGGTCGGAGGCCAGTGGGTATTCCTGTCCGACTGGGTGTGTAACCGTGTGTAGAGTTTTGTGCCAAATTTGTGGACGGACAAGTTTTATTGCTGTGACGGACAAGTTTTGTGCCAAATTTGTGGATGGTGTGCTGTTCTTGTCGGGGTTTTGAACGGACACATTGCTGGGCAGGGTCAATATGTGTAAATCTGTGTAAAAGATTGACGGCTCGTCTGACCGCTCGTCGCAGGTTTACTGCTAGCGCTGCGCCGGGGTGGGGTGCCAAGTCATTATCCGTCAATTGAAATACATCTCACGCACTGTTGGGTTTACCCTTGCCACGAGTCAGTCGAAGTCCGATGAAACGGTTCAACAAAATCTTTTTCGATTTTCTCTTTTTTTTTCCTTTTTCTGTGGACTTGTCTATCATGAGAATGACAATACATAGAGCGGCAGCGTATTCTTGCCGAGCCTGTCTACAGGTGTAACAGGAAAGCCAAGTACAGAGGCCCGTCGCAGAAGGCCGGTGTGCGGGATCTGCACGCGGCACCGGTTCTTTCTTTACCACTTAAAAGCAGCCTGCCACCACAGCGAAAACCCTCCTAGCACGCTCGCCCACCAGTGGGTTCTCTAAGTCCCGCCTCCATCCTCTCCAACCAAACAAAAGGCGCACTCGTAGGTGGCATAACCACCGCCGACACAATGTGGAACACGTCATAGACACTCAAGTTGCAGCAGCAAAGTCCACGTCATTGTGAAACAACGGTGTCTTATTACGAGATAGGGAAGACAAAAAATGAGCATTGGGCTTTTTAAATGAGTATACTGAGGGCGAAGGCGAGAAAATATGGATAACAACTGTGTGGTCGGCTGTGCTGGCTTTGTCTAAACCCGTCCAGGTGGAATTGCAAACAACACGTTACGCCCAGTGATTCCGGATTGGTGTGATCCTCCCTGGCGTAATTTGATGGAGAGGTGCTGGGCAACAGACGCAAAGGACAGGCCAACTTCTTCTGAGGTGGTTAAGGCTCTCCGGGTGATGCTATGAAGTAAAGAAAGTAAGCAATTGCAGGTTCCAATTCCAGATATATGTCATGTCATCATCCTGCTGCTGCTGCTGCTGCTGCTCCCTCTCTCTGTGCAAAGTCCAAGTCATCTTGATCTCGTTGTGGCATCATTGTGCTGGTGCCGCTCCCCCCCCTTCTCCCTCTCTCTGCGATGTCCAAGTCACATTGCAGTTGCAAGACGGGACTGGAAATGGCTAATGACCGATGCGGGGGAGGTTCTGGAGCGTGCGTTGCTAGTGGGTTAAATTCGAAACTGCCACCTATTGGTTGTGGGATTTGCCTGTCGGAGTCCGTTTTGCGGATTATCACTCTTTAGTCACCTTATGGTGGCAACATGTGCGCACTTGGGGGCAGATTATTGTGAATTACTGAGGTGAAGAAGGGCTGGAGGAGGTAAATTTTCAGCTGAAGGAAAGGGGCTTTTGATGGAGAGTGGGGTTTGGGGTTTGTTGAAGGCAGGAGGTACAGATTGAGACTGTCTTCCAGCACTCTCCTTCCCTCAGGGTTGTTGCATACAGATCATTCCATATCACATCGTTGCGGCGCCAATCGGATGTGAAATGGAACCAGAGAGAAATCATGAAGCAGTCTGGAGTTCCGTCTTTCATGCCTATATATATATAGATATATATTATGGGAGCAGACAGCTGTGCAGAGCTCAACCCTAGAGGGGAAGTAGGTGGGATAGTATGGACTGCCTTCTCGATCTGTATTCACTCACTGGACTGTGGGAGGACAATTGTAGGCAATCTCTCTCCCTCTGGATTATGTATAGCCTTCTTTCGTAATGCCTGCCTCTCTCTCTCTCTCTCTCTCTCTCTCTCTCTCTCTCTCTCTCTCTCTCTCTCTCTCTCTCTCTCTCTCTCT